TGATTACTCTAATTGCCCCACATTATTCAGCTGGGCCCACTCTATTGGTTGATAAAAATCTATTATGGTGACTCATCGACAGAAAAAAAAATCTAATTTGTCCTCTACTAGGACAACATTTCCTCAGATAATTAAAGACTAAAATAAAACATCCAAAGTAATGTAATTTTTCAAGGCCTGATGAGCTAAATTATGCCATTTGGTAAATGTCATGCCTTTGGACTGTCATTAGTTGATTTCTTTGCATTTGTGAACTGTGTTTGTATCTCATTGACTTTTTACAGGGCATTTCAACAAAGGGCATCTCCACATGCACTCCAGGTATTAGGAGACGTGCATGCGAGGCGTCTGAATTTTAGTTCTTGCAGTTTTCCTGCTATTTGCCGTGCCACGTGACTTCAAAGACGCGCTTTCACAGAGGCGTGATGGTGAAACCGGCTTGAAAGGGGCAGTGAGAGACTGTGCCTTCAGCTGGAAGTGCAGACTGACGTTAGATTTGGACGGACAGTCTGGATGCAATAATTTCAACAAGGACACTTCAATTTGAATACTGGCTTTAAGGTGTCACATCAGACATCACTTAGTTTGGAGATAATGAGGTCTAAAAGGTGCATGGGTAGGCACAAGTCACTTTCAGGCTGCTGGTTGAGAAAATGGGCTGCTGTGATAAAGCGGACTAGGAGGAATAGCAAGAGGAAATTGCAAAAATATGTCCTGTATCATTTTATCTGTCCGTTCTCACTTTTTTCTGGCATCCTGACCCCTGCCATCCTCTGTGCGGATGAGTGCTTCCTTACACTGTGGACCCTGGAGATTGAGGAGATTGGCCAGAGAACCCAGAGCATGAAACCAACTGATAATGAAATATGGCTGGGTTTCTTCAAGAACAAGATAAGGCCTGCTTCTCATCTCTGTCCCCGCTATCAGCCTCTCAAGATCTAATGCGATCCATGGAAGAGGATGTGCCTATTTAAAGCCGTACGTACAATACAAGCACATGAACGTATGATTATTAACATGATACATGGAAAGTTGCATCTAAAGTTGTGAATCTAAAAACATACACAATTCAAGCCAGCTGTCATTTCAACAATGTGAATCAATGTGAATCATTGTCTTTTGGTTGATTAACCTGTAACTTATGTCAGTGCTACCATTCCAACGACCTGAAAAAGACTTTATGCATCTTTAAAATAAAAGTGGTACCTTTTGTGGCAAGTGTTGCAGCAGATACATTTTGCTTAACAGTGTGAGTCATGCAGCATCTGACCAAATGGCAGTATATACTGCACTGGAATGAAGAACATGTTCCATAACCAATAGAGCTGGGGTTCCCATAGTTTCTATGACCATGGGTGGATTTAGAAAGCTGGCAATGGTCATTTCTGGACATTAGAGTCAAAACTGATAATGCGTTTCTCTATTTGAATGATATAAACTCTTTATATCTTCTTCATCTTTCCTTGTCATGCTTGTAGGTTGTATGAAATGCTACACCCTGGCCACAGAACAAGAACTTATGTGGAATCACATAAAGAAGTAGCGCAGGCCATCATACTTTTAAAAACTGCACCAACCAGAGGAGAAAACTGAGGGCTGAAACACTAACGCTATTCGTTTTGAGCATGGCTTCTATGTCAGAGAACGCCATGTTTAGCTAGCTTGATTGTTAGCTATGCGTTAGCAAGCTACTGTAGTGAGGTAAGGCATTTAAAACAATACAGCGTTGACATATAGCCAATATAAACACTATATTTTTTGGTGTCTGTTTTAGCTAACTTCCATATTCAAATATCAGTTATAGGCTAGACCTTTTTTTTTTTAAATGGTGACCAAAAGTGCAGTAATAGCATCCTGCAGATGCTATACTAGCTCATGCATCATTGTCTGTATCCACTTTTGTTCTTAAAGACTCAGTTCAGCAGGTTGCAGACGTGTACTACAGATTTTGCTATGCTCAACTTATTCCCCGTGTTATAGAAAAGGAGACACCTGGATAGGATTCAATGCAATTAAAAAGCAGTGTTTCCCTTAAAATGTGCACTGTATTTTTTCAGTAGGCTGAAGTGAGCTGTTGCTCTAACATCACTGATTTTCTCATACCTCAGGCACTATTAAGTGATGAAGGCAAAAGCTGGAGCGCATTTTGATAAGTCTTTAAATGTTGTTTTGAATATACTGTTATTTACCTTCTTTAATGCCAGGAAAGCAATATGGCCACAATTTAACACCTAGAGTTACCTGGTTACTACAGTAGGTTTGTATAATGGCAACATCCCAGGCATTTATTCATTTTTAGCCATTCTACAAGATAGCCACATTGCCTTTCTCCAAATGTTGCTGACATAACATTTCCTTGCAAAACTCCAAAACAAAAAACAAGATCTATACAAAGACCTGCTGACAAGCCATTTTCCCCCCACACAGTGTAATTTACTGAGTGACAATAAGACAGAAAGGATTCTGATGCTGTCTGAACTCTAGTGGAGGTCTGACAGTACTGCTGAGAGCAGACTAAAAGCTTATTGTGACAAACCAAAGGCAGTTATGAATTGTCTGTGCCCTCTGTGACTATTCCAAACGACAAACCCTAAAAGTTTCCATAAAAATGCTAATATGGATTATAAAGAGAGCCTCCAGTACTTTCCGTCAGCTGAAAGAGGCTATTATCTGGAAATTTAGTTGACATTAGTCCTAATATGGTTCCTGTATAGATTTTTTTTCCCTCTTAAACTGTCAGTAGGTGAGGGAATTTCAATGGTAACAGCGTTTCAACAGTATAATAAGTTGTGTGTGGTTGATGGCGGTTTTCGTGTTCCAGCCACATCCAGGTTGATGATTGGCATGTTGAATCATCAGCCCTGTGTGTGTGTGTGTGTGTGTGTGTGTGTGTATACACTAAAAGCAGAGGAACTGAACTCCCCGCCACCGTCACATTGCATTACCGACTCAGTGGCACGGTATCATCACATCAAATTAGTCTTAATGAACACAAGCGAGTCGACTGAGGAGAGAGATAATCAAACTTTTATTAAATGACTTAATCTTCTGTACATGCATAATGCAGTGGAAAGAGAGATGGGTCTGTGGTGTCTGTCTACGTGGGGATGATCTTTACCCCAAAACATGTGAATGTATGTGGAAGCAGTGAGCCTAAAGATCATTTGCCACAGCGCATGAGATCACCGTGCACCTCCTCGCTGGGAGAGGAGCGGCTAAATAAAATAAGAAAGTAAAATTCTGCTACCATCAAAGCCTGTTCCCTTGAGTAAACAAAAGAGATGCATTTCAAACAGTATGCTCCTTCAGTTCATTTGGTTATCATACAAAAAGAAAATGCACTATAACTCACTCCATGCATTCTAGAAGGCAGAAAAACAGAAGTAAAATATGGAGTTACTTCTGTGTTATTAAACAGCAGGTTTACAATAAAGAAACTGTAAATATTAGACCTAAAATAGTTTAGGTGCAAGTAAAATTTATCATTTAAAATATTATTCCAAATGTACTGTTTACAAAAGCAGAAGCTTTGCTTACCGTTGACCTGAATCTCACGGGTCTGAGCTACAAAGAAATATGTAAGACACTTTCAAAGTAAAAGTTGTGCCTTATTGCCGAAATCGACATGTTTCAAAAGGCTTAACTTTTATTTTAAGGCAAACGGTCTCCATTTCCAGTTTGTTTCACAACCGCTCTGCGAGTAGCTAGCAAATATTTGCAGATAACTCCTCTTCCAAGCAAACTACAGGGAACTACAGAATTCTGCTAGTGACCGAAGCAATTGCAAGGTTTTTTTTTTAGTGCAGCAACATAATTCCTTGTGACAAATTTCACAAGACCTAACAGGCAACCTCCCACAACCACTTGCCAAGCAGTCAGGAAATACCAGTTTTTCTCTAGTTACTAGCCGTTCATCGACTGGTCTCTAGGCCTGTGTGACTGGGGCCTAAATAATGCTGCCCTACTAAGTGGCAACCAAAATATATGAGAGCCTATTTTTTCCACATCTTATTAATGTACAGTGCCAGCCAATCGTTGCGTCTAAAAAGGTTACACACCCGGTCAGCATTCACATATAGCAGCAACCCTCTTCGTCTCTATGACACGAAGTTGTGAAGAGTAAGGTGGAAAATAAGATCTCGATCTCACTGCATTAATCACGCAGTACTTGGACCTAGAAAATTAATGGTTTTACATCCACTCTATCAGATGAAAGTGACACATAGCCAGAACATTACATGGCTATATTCATTTAGACAGGTTTGTGGACTTTAAAGGAGAAACGATTGCTGGTGCTAGCTTTAGCCACACTCAGCTAACTGATCTAATATGTTAAAGTCAAGCCAGAAAGTGTTACATTTAGCACATTTTTAAAATATAGTCAGATTGCTGGAGAATATAAAGATTTTCAAATGCATCTTCAAATACTTTATTATTCTGATTTTTCCCCCCCTCATATTTAAGTGACGAGTAAAATTAGATGCCGGGAACATCCCTGGTAAAGAGCACAGATACTCTGTTTTGCAAAAAATAGAAAATCAGTGAATATTTCAGTACTTCAATCTTAGAATTCAATATCAATTGCTGCCAATTCATACAGCTCATTATAAAACAGCAGTCTACATGGAACAGGTCAGATGTAGCATCTTTGCTATGAAACTTTTGAATAAGCAAAACTTTTGAATTCATAAACAACTTTTAGATTTCCAAAAACGTTGGATTTACAAAGACGTTTTTCTTGCAAGAAAACATTTTGATCACAGTGTCTTCAGTTTTGCTCTCACAATTTTCAAAACTGCCAATTAATTCTGTTTAAACCGCATATTAAAGGCCCAGAACACTCGGTACTAAACATCTATTAAATATCACGAAGGCTGAACTTGTAAACAAGAGCAAAATATTTTTTAAGAAAATGAATCCACATATATGATAGACAAGGATTTTACCCAAAGACGTTTCATAAGTGTCAGCTATAATACTCAAGATGTCGACACTGAAATGAGTAAAGCATTTTATTGATATTATTTTTAAACTGATTGTTTAAATGGGATATATTCAAAATGCAAATTTTTTGCAGATTAGCACTTGTGGGATTAAGATGCACCAAAAAGTTATTGGAAGAAAGTAAATCTGGCACCAGTGTCCATTAATAAAGCACCAGGCTTTAACCATTAAAAAAAAAAAAAAAAAAATCTCACATGCATTGCAAGGCACTATGCCCACTTTGGCTGCTGATACTGTAGCACTAATTATATTGGATTTGGTCCTAAACAGCAGCACTGCACTGGCTTCAGACACAATTCAAACATTGCAACAATGGAAATCTTTTTCAGTTTACCTGTGTGAGTATCGGGTGTAGTTTGTGGAGATGTTTGAAAAGACTTTGTGTGCGCTTGTTTTTGTAGCACATACATTCAATGTATTTTAGCATCTTTTTTTTTTAATGTCCTTATCAGAAATGAAAAAAAATTAACAATCTAAATGGCCTATATACAATACATTTACATATAATATGTATAGGATAACCGAAAATCCCCACCACTCAGTTCAGCTTTCACAACAATTGGAATAATCCTCCTCAGATAGGAGGGATGCATTTTAAGGCTGTGCGCCTCAGATGACAGCTGATTTACAGTCTCACTCTAACAGACAAAAAACACAGATTCAAACACATAAAAGGTGACCCTGCTGGACTTGACCCAGAGCAGGAGGCTGGTTTGGAGAGGGGAGACGACAGAGTTGCTGGGCTGTTGTGCCGGATCTGGTTCTACCTCGTCAGCTGGCCTACCACTTTCAGCAGAGTCTTGTTCTCTTGTTTGAGTTGCTCGTTCTCATCTTCGATGTCATCCAGGTCCTGTGAAAAGGGCACAACACACACATATCTCTCTGTTTAGTTCCATCAGGACCCATTTAACCACATAAATATTCAAGACCCTGCCTCTATACCGCTGAGAGGCCTGATCAGGTTGTGGAGTGTTCGTCTGAGAGTTAAAATGAGCATTGCTTGCTGCCAGGTCCCCCCCCCCTCCCCTCCCCTTCCATTTGGGCTGCCTTGATAGCAACAAATTAGACATTAACAACTTCAATTAGTTGCAAATGAGAGAAGCTCTAAGTTGCCACAGCGCTGTCTCATCAAAGTGACACTCCTCATTTTCGGTTTCTTCCATCACCGGCCATGATTGCATGACTGTTGGGAATGAGCTGAACAACACTTGGAGGGACTTAAAAAGTCAAATTAAGCAGGTCACAGGTTTACAACACAGCTTGCTGTCTCTGCGGCAAAAAAGGGACGTAAAGACTAACGTAAGGTGAGACACTAACAAGAGAGAGGTGGGGTTTGGTTCCTTCTTTTGCACCAAGATGCAGATAACTTGATCTGCCGCTCACAAACGGGGTGGGAGGGGTGACTGTTGTTGTGAATTGGCGTCACATAGAGTTGATTTCAATTTTATTAGCAAATTTAAGACATTTGAAGACTTTAAAGACTCAAAAACATGATAGCTGTCACCTGTCTGTCAGATGCCTGTAACACATAGCTGCTTCCAGAGAAAAATCTTCAAAAGTTTAATGTAGACACTACAATCACCTAAAGAATCTAGTGCTGCATTAAGTAACAACTCTATACTGAGTAATAGTGATAAGCAAGTAAAAAGCTGTTTGCTAAGAATATTGTATCAACTTAGAAAAAGAAAAAAAGGACAATTATTGCAGATTTAACCTTTAGGAAATATAAAAGCTCTTTTTCTTTCTCATTAGATGAGCCCATCAGTATTTACTGTGTAAGCTTTCACCGAACACTCTGCAAGACTCTCTTTTCAAAGCATATCAGTGGGGAGAAAGACGTCCAGCAGTTGAGCTTTATCTTTTCTTTCTCTCCCAAATAAACTTCTACAGTGACTGAGGGTTCAATTTTACTCTGCAGAGACGCCGACTGGATCAACTCTTATCTCCTGCTATAACATCAGGCCCTGCAGGAGCCTCTCTCAGGGACGTTTCTGATGGCTCGCTGCCTGCATTAACCATCCTTGGATAAATCACTTCTCTTATGGCCAACCTCTCCTATATGTGATGCTATCAGTATGATGCTTCCTGTATATTGTGCTCTTTTTGGGGTTTGCAGTGTGTTTGATAATGACAAAAGCATTTAGATAATAAGCAAGCAAGGAAAATGTACACCATTTTCCACCCACCAGACTCGTGATCCAGAAAACACAGTAAAAAGCTGCAAGTACAGAAGGTTTGGAGAGGTTTCACTACGGATATAAAGCCATCAGCCAACATGTTTCTCACCCTGCGTGCAGCATGAGGTGAAAGAAGGGGGAGAGAAAAAAAAACAAAAAACACACTCCAACCCATCAAGCCAAATGTGAAAACACACCTGACCCCTGCTATTGGGTTCACTTTAGTGTGAAATGATCAGACTGTTATAGTTATGAGATCTGTCAAAAGCTCTTCTCACGATAATTGCAGCAGCAGCACTTATTATCGCTCGTCTTGCCATTCTCATGTCTTAACTGATCTTCCTGAGGGAGAACTGTTGAGTTCCTTTTTTCAGTGAGAAATGGGTGTTTTTTGTCTTTGTAAACACTCAATATTATCACCTCATCTACAAATGTGTTTTAACCCGATTTGAATCTCCTCTTAATAACCGTTCAGCCTATATAAGAGTTCATATTTTATTGACTTTGATTATTTTTGCCATGAAGATTTTACCAAAAACAGCATGCATCTCTTCATTGTTATTTCGAAATGGGCCTTAGTTTATGAAGTTACAATGAAATTCTTTTAACTAAACCCATTCTCATTCATAGTCATTCAAATACTACCACTTTGTCAATGCTACTGGGATTTCTGATGTAACCATAATGCATCTTGGCAATGACACCATGACACACACATGTACGCTACAGCAATATTAGTCTCCGTAAGCAAATATTCTGACAAAACATAAGACCATTTCAGAGTTTGTTAACATGTGACATCAAAATGCTCCATGAAGGAAGACCAAGCTTCCAAATCTGGAAAGTTGGGAGTGAAAGTAGTAGTCATTATTATTTCTTCTGCTTTGCTCGTCACACAGTGTTGCAGCTAAAGAAGAGTGATTCCAGAGTGTACATTGGATATAGTAAGATCACCCACTGGGTCTTATTCTTATGAACTCTCAAAGTTAATAGACAGTCACTGCTATGCTGTTTATTTTTTAGAGCCAGATGCTACCTTAATGAGATGAGAAGCTGTGGATTGCCTAAGGTTACTAAAGTTAGTGAGCTTAGTTAGCAAGCTACCTTTGTAAACTGCCTAGATGCAATACACAGACATACATCTACTAATAAGGTCAAAATAAGAGTGAAATAAAATACTAGAAGTGTATTTGGAAAGATTGTTCCAAACAACTAAACAGCATGCCATAATATTAATTATATTATCAACCAATGGACTGTTATCCAAACATAATTAAGCCTTATACATTCCTGTGTGGTGTCTATGTAGTAGACTGGTTATCAAGCAACATGAAAAGCAACTCAATAATTAAGATAAATCTGTAATCAACTAAGTTAACCCAGAGGTGTAAGGTGAACTTCAATTTCATTTTTGAATGTGGAGCCCAACTGTGAAAGTCACTTTATAATAAATGGTTGCTGATTGTAATACCACAGTGATTGGCTGAAATTGGCTAGGTTGTAATTTACTGTTCATCTAGTTTGGCCCATGGCTGCATTTTACTGTTTTGATTTGACTGTTAAATGACACAGTAAAAAAAATCACTTTGGAAGTTTCAATTCAAAGGGGTTTGAACTGCAAAGGCCCAGTTCAGACTCGTTCTCCAGAAAGGTCCAAAAAAACCCATGATGCAGATAAAGAGCGTGAACACAGCTGTTAAAAGTAATTTTCAGTGGACTTCATCATTTCTTTCTTTTTTGCTGTATTCAACAAAAACTACTTGCATAAACCAAATGAAAGAAGCCAAAGAGGACTGCTTATCCTTCACTGTTCATCCAAGACGACTCAAATTTAGGCTGACAAAAAAACAGCTCAGTGGTGACACCATGATTGACGAATCAGTTACATATGAACCCACCTGCCACACGGAGCAACAAATTTTAATACTTTCAACTACTTGTGTTTCAGAGTGTTTAAATTGCAAATTACAGTAAAATCCCCCCATTGTGTTTCAAGTTATATAAATTCAAAACTAAAAAAGTATGTTTATGTCCAGCTTCTGATAGACTGCAAGAATAATCAGTGTAGAAAAACACATAGCTATTACACACAAGGCCAGTAAAATGCCAGATGATGATTACAGCCCCCACAAGACGCCCACGCATGCAAACACAAAGGAACACTCAAAATATCAGACATCAGAGCAGAAAATTATGTAGGCTGTGCTCACTTGGTTCAGCAAGTCGATTTCCTCCTTCAGCTTCCCAATGAGATCATCTTTGTCCTGGTAGGCTTTCAGCAACCTGGCGTTCTCCTGACGCTCTCTGGCCAGCTCCTGAAAATGCACACAGATTGCACACATAGTTACATGAAAGGCAAATATTTTCACAAAGAAACAGTGCGTGGAATCTGCATTAAGGTGTACCAGGAAATCTGCCCTGTAATTAGTTTAGCTACACAAGATTTGGAATTTCATACATCGAAACAGTTGCCCTGGAGCATTGCTGTCTGAAGGGGAAAACAAAATGAAGTTAATCAAGATAAATACAACCCGAATCCAGTAAATTGGGAAAGATTGCAATGATGCAAATCTCTAAACTCATATTTATTCACAGTAGAACATAGAAAACATATCAAGTGATTAAAAATGAGACATTTTAGTGTTTCCAGAAATATATTAGTTCATTTTGATGATGAAAATGATCTTTAAAAAGAAAAAGAAAAAGAAAAAGAAAAAAATTAGGACAGGGGCAACAAAAGGCTGGAAAAATAAGGGTTGCTAAAAATGAAACTGCTTTCTTTTGGTGCAGTGGGAACCTAGGTTCACTAACATAGGTTTTCATAGGTGATTCTGTGTTCTCCCTGCGCCTGGGTGAGTTCTCTCTGGGTATTCAAGCTTACCCTCACACTCCAAAGATATACTTGTTAGGTTAATTAGTGATTCTGAATTGGGTGTCGGGAGCGAATGAGAGTACGAATGATTGTCTCTCTGTCAGCTCTGGCTACCAGCCAGATTGCACCATGCCTCTTGCCCTGTCATACAGCTTGGATCGGGCTCCAGCACACCTGCAATCCTGAACTGCACGGGCAAAGAATAAAACAGAGGGGTGGATTTTTTTTTAAAGTTGCTGAACTATTTCATCAGAGCCACTCATAAAACTGTGAATTCCTTCCACTCATGAAAAACTCCCAGGGATGCTCCTTTTATACCTAATCACATTACTAATTAACTTTATTTGTTGCCAGATGTTGCACAACTCTCAGCTTTTTTTTTTTCTTTCTTTTTTTTAAAATTGTATTTTTAAAATCAGTTTCTGAAAAACATGCGACTGCTTTTTATTTGGATCTTACAAAGGCAAAAGTGTAGAGTAAAAGTAAAAGTGAAGCAGCTACATTTAACAGTTATAAAAAAAGGAAACGAAACGAGCCTCTGCACTGGTCTACTGAAAGAGATTACTTTATTCAAACCATATTTTTACTAGCAGAAACATTTGGTATTAAAAAGGCGTCAAGAACAGTCAACTGCATTGACTTTTTGTAAGATGACATTTTTCCAATAATGTATGTAATTTTCTATTTCCCACTTCCACAGACTCTTCAAAAACCCACAATAATAAATCCACGCAGACTGTCAGTGAACAATGCATTAATAGTTTCTTTTATATAGTACTTTTGTGTTATTTTCAAATTGTACTTAAAAGCCAGTGTGTTCTTGTCCGCCTCCTCCAACAGCCACAGTGAAATAATGGATATTGTGCCTTCCTGAGAGAGACAACGATTGTATGCACATCATAAACCGAAAGTTAATGTGCACACATTTTCAAACTGCTGCTATTTTATCATGGAAATGAAGATTAAACCAGGACTTTGTAGTTTCACTTTCTGGCTCTTCCAGATAATCATGAAATTGCTTAAATAAAAAAAATGTATTATGCAGCTACAGTAGATGGCAATAGTCAAAGCTGGCATAATATGACTTTTAAAGCTACCATAGATAAGTGCAGCATTGTATCTCCTCTCAAAGACACCTGAACAAACATTTGTCTTATTTCTTTCATAAAATGCAACAATACCAGCTGAAATTCCTTTTCTTTTATTCTGAATGTCTGTCATCTGACAATAACAGCGTTTGGGAATACTGTCCATTGTGCAAACATTAAAAAAACATACTGCACAAAATACACTGTGCCCCAGAACATTGTAAAGTATGGGTATCAACAAATCTGTAAATATGGGTTGAATATGGAATTTTCATTGTATTTTCACTTCCCCAGGATGTTTCTTGCTTGCTAATATTACATCTGCTCAAAGCATTATGGGGACCAAAAAGGATGATGTTGGTTCTGCTTTCTAAGTTGCTCATTTTTATGTAAGAATCATTCAGTGAATTATTTAAAGTGGACAATGTTTTTTCTATTTTCTAGGACAGCATATATAAATAATCCTAAAATGCTCTGAAAGACGTGAGTGAGATTGGTTGTCCTTAATCATCAAAGTTCTAACCCGAACCCTAAGCATCTTAGACCGCAGCTGATTAATACAATCATCTTCGTCAGCTCGGGTTGTGAGTAGAATGATGGGAAAAAGGACTTCCAAAATCTGGAATGACTCCCACGACTTAGCATTCAATACCTTCTCATTGTTTTTAAAGGAGACATGTACATACTTTCAGCTTTTTCTGTGAAAGATATATACAGTCTTTAACAAACATCTCTTATTTTTAAGCAAGGACCTGCGATCTAATGACCAACCCCTTTAGGGCCTGTTTGCAGCCACTGTGGGCAGACCCACATGGCCTACAGTGGGCCTTGCACCAGAGTAAAATGTGGCACATCTGGGCCCCGGACTGTGGGGCAGTCCATAGTGTGAGCTGACTGTGGGCTGTCCAGACTAAGCAGAGAGGGGCCCTAAAAGGAGGCACCTACTTTAGGCCCACTGTATATCAACACTCTAGGCTTTGGCTGCCCTAGTGGTGCCCCATCCAGGGCCCACATGTGCCCCATGGTACATTACTGCCACCAACTGGTAGGAGGCGTTGACCAGAATGTTCTTCAAAAATCAACAAAAACAAAACAAAAAAGAGCTACTTAGACCAAAAAGCTACCACAGCAGGTACACACACTAGTTGCCCAAAGAAAATTTTTTATGGTGACCCCAAATGGGCCCCACATGGGTTTTCAGTGGGCTACCTACAGTGGGTACCCACACTGAATTCCCTCTTGGGAGCCAAAAAGGCAAAATTGCTATGGGCTCCACAATAACAAGCCTAAATAGTGCCCGCATGGGATTTCTGTGAGTAAACCCACTGTGGAATGGTTCATTGAATACTCATTTTGGGCCCTAAAGGGCAAAACAGCTGTAGGCCCTTTGTGGGGTAAGTGTCTGCGTGCCCTGCCCCCACAGCCTCACAGTTCACCTGCAGCTACCCACTGAGAGCTTGAAGTCTCAGTGAAGTCTGAGATTTAGGTGCAGCTGTCTTATATGAGCAGACCTGCATCTGGAATGAAAAGTGAGATAAACAACAATGACAAAAATATGTGTGAAATATGATTTCTGGACATTTGACAAAACCACTTCATGCTGAAGTCACAGAAGGTGTGACTTTTCATAAGGCCACCCAAGTGACATTTGATTCCAAGTTGAGTTTCTAGAGTGGGAGCAGAGAGAGGCTGAGTGGCTGATAGGAGCTGTGCAGGAAGAAAAGACATATCTGTACTGAGAAAGGTCATCTATTCAACAACACTGAGGAGAATTTCTGTAAGTGCAGAGCCACAGTTTCCAGCCAGAAAATGTAGAACCTGGGCAGCTGCACAAAGGACTCAAAGTGGAATTTCATCTTAACAAAGTGCTACTGATAGAGGCTTTCAAGTTGGCCAAAAGATACAGCCTTGACTCACGGTTCACTGAGACGCTATAGAATTTTGATAGATGTCAATAACTGATATTACCTCAGCAATTTTAGATCTCCATGGTGTTCTGTGGGGATGAACGTAGTTTTAGTAACACCCAGAAATGTCTAGAAGCTCAGTCCTGTTGTAATGCATCTAACCTGTGCATCAACTTTTGTGTTAGACCAATCCAGCTTTAAACAGCTGCATTTCCAAATATAATTCGGACATCGCACTTAGGCTTCCTGGCCTTGTGGCAGATATGCCATCTTCAGGCTTTGAAACTACTTGGCAACCATCTGGTAAAGCCCTAGCCATGTAAGCCTAAAGATTGGTCAATAACCACCTGGCAACCAACCATGACCACAAGCAAGTTTACCCTAAATCTACAAATCTCTGAGGAGATGATATTAACTTCTATATGTTCTATAATATGGAGACAGGAATTAAATCTACAATAAGAAGAAATAAATTGAAGGACTGAAAAAACTAACTAAAACTAATTTTAAAAAAAGTTTTTTTTAAATACTCAAGAATTAGATCAACTCTAGTAATCCACAGCAAAAGAATCAGCAGATTGTCAGTAAATATTAAGCTCATTTGATAGGTAAGGACTGCCAAGAACAACAGGTGTTGACCTTATCACTGCAGGGAAGCTATAAAATCTGCCAACACATGTATTCTGACTCATCTGAATCAGAGCAGACGCTTACATTTACTCACTTTTGTGTCTTTAAGAAATAAAAACATCTAAGTTTTAAAGCAAATGTTAACTTTTTTTTTCCAAAGTCAACTCCAATAAATCAAGAAATGCAACATTTAATTAAATGATAATATTATTTGGGTTATGTTTATGTGGACGAGGTTCGACTAGTAATATGACTTGTTAAAAGGTCAGTCTATTTACCCTCTCCAGGTCTTCTATCCTTTTCTCCAGACTTCCAGGTGCTGAAGCTCCTCCATCTCGGCCGTGGCGGTTGTGTCGCTGCTGTCGGCTGTTACCGCCGGTGTCCTCCTCCAACCCCATTTGTGGAAAGCTGTTAGTAACAAACACAATATTGCTGAGCCTGTAAGTTGAATGCATCAAATATTTTATACTTCACATTATACACGGCCACACTTCAAAAGAAAAGGAAAGTTAGAAAAAGAGTACCATTTGAGCTTGATTTCTACTTTTCAAAGTGTCCAGTAGTGTATTCACACTGAGGCCGTTTGAAGGTATGAATCATACCCACATTGTAAAACTTCAATAGGGATGACACAGCCATCATCAAAAGAGCAGGTGGGGAATATCTTCTGCGTGTTTGCTCTTTCAATTAGGCATGCACTATTAAAGCCCCTCTCCCTTTTTATTCCTTTAATGGAGAAGGCCATCAAGGATGTGCAACTTTGGTATAAAAAGGATTCTGATTAAGAAACAATTTATATATTACAACTTCAAATAGGCTCAGGAATGGCAGTGGCAAGTTGTGCGTCCCTGCTGTTAAGCTGGTGGGGGGGGGGTTGAAGTTTTGTATGCAGCTCAAACAGAACATTAAACTTATCTCGTTTTCATTTTTTCAGTGCTTAGAGACAGAGTCTGGGGCGGCTGGGAATAGAATATTCATGTGCAGTCAATTTCCTTACTGACCTTAATCCAATAATTATTGAAGTGGAAACTGGGAATGAAATGCTGGCTCTATACCTCATAACTACAACTACTCCCACTTCCCAGTAGCAAGAGACTATGACAGGTTTATATAATCTCCCTGGAAATAAAATTACTTAGATTGTAGGATTCAGTGTGTTGTCTGAAGGGGCTGGTTGGCAGATTTCTACAGCTGAAACAGACAGGAAAGCTGCTGGCAAGACACAGGACAAATACCTCCTTTGTACCATCTGTACTCTTTAAGACCCGCCAGATATGAAGTCCGCATGATTAGACAACTTTAACAAGTACTTTTAACTCTGAAATCGTAGAAGCAGCAGTGGAAACTGAGTATAAACTGTTAAATTTGTTTATTTTTCTCCAGTGCTCAGTTTCATGGAATGCCAATATTTAAAAAAAAAAAAAAAAAAGTAATAGTAACCAGACAAGATCGGCTTTCTTGTTTTTGTTTTTCCTTTTGGCATGTTTAGTACATATCTGAAAGTAATAAGGCTGTAGTCTCAACGCTCACTGGCTGGCGGGTCTAAAAACAGCAGTCTTGAGTTTTCTGCATAAGGATGTCCTCCCAACTTTTCCTACAATGTTCTTGTTTTTGAGTCTAAACATATCAGAATAATTCCACTATGTTTGGTCCAATTGTTTCATAGGTACCAGTGCATCCAGCAACATGATATTGCTGGATGATATTGGGAGATTTCTCAGGATATGAGGCTTTTTAGCATTTTCTTTAAATAGTTCTTGTGCTGGGGCCGGGAGTTGATATAGTTCCATCTAAATGAAAAAAATAAAAAGAGGGTGACACAACATCTGCTACAAGGGTAGCAGATGTTTCTGACTGCAAAGCCTTTCTTGCAAGGGCAACTGCTGACCTGCCTCCATTGCTACCAGGCTGCATTTTGCAGACTGGCGTGAAGTGATGTCCAGGGAGCAGTTGAACTGATTTCCTCGGGAGATCTCCAAAGTAGCCACGGTGTAAGCAAAAGAGATATGGACCAAATAAACCAAAGTCTACCCTACATAATCCTCTCCCAGTTCACAAAGAAGTCCTTGAGGGTTTTACTTCCTCTAGATAGATCAAAGATTATTTTGGCATGAACTGGAACTGAATAAAGGTACAACAAAAACAGGTCTCATGACATAAATGGCTTAAAATCCTGCTCATACATATAAATTCTTCTTTCCTCTATTGAAGCAGCAGTGCCATTTCTCATAAACACGCACAGGCAGTATTTTTGTGTACCTTGACATTTACAGAACAAGCATCTTATTTTCCTTCATTCTCCCAGAGCCAACATTGCAGCGGCCAGCGCTTTTGATCAAGAGGAGTCCTTGAAATGCTCTTGCTGACGCTCGTCTGCAAGATAAAGGTGACTTCATTTGTCTCTCTCATTGTGGCTCTTCAAGGCAACTTTATCAGCGTGAGTGCACACGAGCACACAGGCGCGTATATTGTGCAATTCGTGCCTTTGCTATGATGTCCCGGAAAAAAGATCCACGAGAGTCACACACAATCATCGCAAATACACGGACTCCCCAAGATGCACAGTGGGTGTTGAATCCAAGCCTAAACATCCAAAGCCTCGTCACTAAATATCACACCGTGGCACTTTAGCACCCCACAGGCTGAGGTCAGGGGGAGTTAGAGAGAGAGGCTAAGCCAATCGCACATTCTTGTGAGCCTCAGCAGGTGGGAAGGAGAAAGCACAGACAAGAGCACCAATAACAGCAACAGTCACAGGTATAATAACATCTCCCCACAAACAAAAGTGTCAATGTGTGGAATGAGTCAAAACTTCACTGGAGGCAACAGCACACTGGATTCAGTCGTCTGTTTAATGCTCTCATTACTTTAAAGCAAGACAGTATAAAGCCAGCTTCCATGCAGAGCTGCTTTGAGCTGCTAGTTTACAGATGCAGTCACTCCTCAGTCATCTCAGTGGCTGCTGGGTTTACAGGCAGCCAGAGGCAGCTTGGTTGTGCTTTGGTTTCTAAATCTTCAATCTTTCAGGTCCCCTGCTTATGTAGTTTCATTCTTTTCCCCCCTTTGGAAAGACGGCACTTTAGACAGTGAAGATTTGTCACCACCAGAGTATTGCCCCTCATTCATAACACGCAGCACCTGGAGCAGACCTGCCCTGCCAGACAGGATTTTTGTCAGTTTATGAAACACAAGTCAAAAGCATGGTCCCAACTGACCTGAATCATCGTCTTCTGTGGAGATTTTTCCACTGAAAACTCTTAGTGACTGATAGTGTTTTTAGTTTTGCAACTCAAAAAAAGTTACTTAGTTTTTCTCTTTTATGCTTAAATGTAAACACATTTCCATTTTTCTTTTAGTTGCACCCAAATAAAATAAAACCCCTGGTGCATTCAGACTGCTCTGTGTTTCTCTCCGACTTCTCAGCAGGTGGGTGCATACCAGAGGGAGGCATTTGTGTCACTGCACAAGTTAATTTTAGCAAACACAGCCTTGACCTGGTGGCCGTTTCTCACATTATTTTCATAGATGTGTGTCAGCTGCAAAAGGGCTCTGATTCAAATTCGGAAGAAGCATCTGGAAGCTCCAAAAACACTGACGAGGAAAGATAATGCTGGTTTTTGGATTTTAGACAGTAAAAGGTAAAATCATTACATTTAAAATGTAGATGCATGGTAGGTTAGAATGCTCTGATGTGCATTTTTTGTTATACTGTTTATCTTAGTAGGCAAATTAATATGATAAATGAGATGCAGCTAATTGGATTGCAAATCAGATTTAAATTTAGTGTCATGTTACTATGAGTTTTTAAAAAGAAAAAACCAAATGGTCTGAGAGGGAAGTAAATCAGAGCGCCACATGTGTTTTTAAATTGTTCATTCAGCCATCTTGTGTTGCCCAGCCCACCTGGTGGGTTATCCGTAGCGGAACAGCTGAGTGTCCAAGTGAGGCTAACCCAGCTGATGAGAGCAGCAGCCATAATTACATGGCCAGATTGAATGTCAGCTGGTGAACCTGACTGTCAGGGTTGGCCACAACCGCTCACTTTAGTTGCAAATAATGAAAAATAAATGCATGGCGGACTCACGCTGAGGGACGTCAACTCTAAATGATACAATTTTCTGTGATGTACTTCATTATCATGGAAAATGAAGGGAAAATGCATCGTTTCAAGAGCCCCTCCCTTAAAAGAATACTAATTTTGATGACCTGTTTAGAAAGAACAGCAAAAACCAGTAAGATGAATGAAAACTCAAAGTAGAGCTATTCCCAGGAGGTTTCAGTCCAAACTGAAACTGAAAGAGTTTTTTTAGGCTGTTTGAGAAGGAAAGGTTGAAAGCCATTTATCAAATGCCAAAGCAAACTTGACCAAACAGCACCTCTCATTTTAGAACCAAAACCTTTCAAAGCAAATCATTTACTCTGAGCACTCCCTGCCAGCCACAGCAGGGAAGTGATGGCCCGGACAAAGTGTCCAGGGTCCAGATGGTGTCCTGTCAACCAGAGTTCAAACGCATCATCTTTCTTGAACCATAATAGCAAGACAGTAGCAGCACTGAAGAGCAGGAAAAAAAAAAAACAAACAACAACAACAGTGACACATGAGGAAAAAGGCCCTCGGACTATTTCGGAGGAAATCTGCTCTCGTAATTAATTACTCAAACTGCTCTTTCTCATCCTGGCCTTTGGTGCTTCCCTTGACATATCACTAGTGATGTTATGGCAGATAAACTCCACTCTCAGTCGGGGTTAGAAAATATGAGCCTCACCTCTTGTAGCGGCCGCTTCCAGATCTTGGAGTCTCCTGAAACAAACAAACAAAAGGAAAGATAAATGCTGCTAGTTCAAAAACTATAACTCAAGAGTTGCTTTAAGAAAAGAAGTTGACTTTTCTACAGTAATAATGATTTCAGAGAGAAACGGCAAGACATCTGGGTGATTTTGGTGTCATCATTATGCTTTGTTCATCTGCCTTTGGGTTGTATTGGTTCACCAAAAGAAAAAAAGGCATCTACAGGATGAGAGAAATTTATCAGGGGCGGCATTTATAGAAAGCCTTTAGGTTGTCTGTGAACCTTTGTGAATTGCAACTGCAGAGCTGATATATAGATAGGCTTTGTTGCATTTAATAGTTCAGGAGGAGCCCCATAGCCCCAAGAGGTGGAAGGCAATCTCATTTTTGGAACATGTAGTTGTATATTTATCTTATTGCTTCAATTATTGTGTGATCTAAAGGTTGTTTAGATCTTTGCAGCAGTGATGCTCCCCATAAAAAACGCTTTTGGTAAAGAAGCGATTCCCTGGAAAAAATGAAGTGTGTGTGAGATGAATACACATCTCCTCTTTCCTAAGGTCCTGTGCAGTGAAGGGTCCCGTATTTGATTGAGGAGCCTTGGCTTTGCTGCAATCTATCAGTCAGAGCTCGGCTTTTGTCTGACTCTCAGCATACAACAGCCTCTGTGCCTCACTGACAAATCATCCATTACCTGTGGATGAAATCCCTCAACTTATCTCTTCCCTGGATCGATTTACAAAGATAGAAAAGAGTAAGAGGGCAAAATGTAGCAACAATCGGCCTTTAACTAAATAAAAGCACGTCTTAGCATGAGGCCTGGTTGAAGTGGCACCTGGAATTAAGAGCAAATTAAAATAGGAGGTTGTCTTTTTGTAGGATTGTGTGTAAGCCAACAGCAGCCACAGCTGCTCCTAAAAGGCCAAGTCTACAGTAGCTGTTTGATCTTCTTCCTTCTTCATTAATAGTTGACTCTAAGGCAGACAGATGCTATTCTACTGCTGTACCTTCTAACTATAATACACAAGCCTCAGAAAACAGTGTTATAGAAAGTTTAGTTTAACTTCATTTTTTATACTTCTGTTTGATCTGAATATGGTCAGAAGACAAATTATCCATCGCTGTTTATGGAGCTATAATCGCCATTATTCTTTACTTCAACTCTGGAAAAACCATTTGTTTTTCTGTCAGTCAAGCACACACACACACACACACACACACACACACACACACACACACACACACACACACACACACACACACACGCCTGTCTAAATGTAAATGTGAGTTTACGCTCTGACTTCCAAACTCTAGATGTCCACAATATGCAACCCTCCTAGAAACAGTTTGATGGTGTCCAACGAATGTTGATTCTAGTAAAGAACATTTGCTTTTCCATTTTCCTAGAAATTCAGCTCATCCAATCCGGCGATGCGGCACGAGTTTCATACATCAGGTCCGCTGGCATACAAATAAACTCTACACTGTACCAGGGCACATCTGGGTTAGAGAAAAAGCGAGACCATGTGACATCACTCCTGCAGTTTGTTGAAGAGCAGCAAACACACAGGGTAATGCAGTCTCAGGTGTGGCTTTTCAAAACTCGATGCAGGTGACACCCTCTGTAACTTTGTAGTGATTAATGCAAAGCATGCCAAAGCGACACCTTATTGAATGGCCCGAGTAAAGAAAAAATAAAAGAAATTGTGGCAGCTGCCAATGGTATCGCTCAGACTCCTCAGACACACATATGGCATCAGTTTCAAAATTCTACGTCACCTTGTTATCGAGTTATCGCACTCACAAAACTTCAGGAAATGTGACCTCTGACCTCAAGGTTAAGGTCAGTGAGAGTCGAACTCGTCCAAATGTTTTTTAGTAGATACGTCTATGGTATCAATTTAAGGCTCCTACGTGGCCTCCTTCTCAAGTTATCCCATTCACAAGCTTAGGCGTGTACAAGAAGATGAACCCAGGGATGACGACACTTTCAGTGAGACCCTGCGAGCCTTATCAGTATGAGTATGAGGTTTGAATTTCATTTTTTGCAGAGAGCTATAGGTTATAAATATATTAAACTGTTTTGCTTGTTGCTTTTTTTTTTTTTTTTTTTTTTTTTAAATCATTTGCTCTTTTGTCAGAACCTTGCACTGCTTCGCGATCCTGCACCACAGTCTAAGTACTCCAGACAGCTTTAGTCAGTTACACAGAGGGAACAAGTTATTTATTTCTACCAATATTCTTCTTTATGCCTGCTATAGTAGAAAATAAACAAATATCTTCCGTCTTTTTGGTGGATGATCAACAAGTTTGGTAAACATATTCAATTTAAATGTCACCATTAATTATCTGCAAGAATATGAATATTTAATGAGTAATCACAGCAGTGCGGGAGATGATCAGATTAAAATAACAGTACATTACAATAACACGACTCCAGGACCTTTAATACGGTTGGTAAGTTTTACTCTGTGATGTTGGAATAAAGGGTTGCTTTTAAAATTAAACTTTAATCATGTATAGTATTTCTGCACTGATGCAGTATTTGAAACTAATATTGGTGACATCTTGATGCAGAAAGCTGGACTGTATCGATGACAACCAGCCTGTCTGTTCAGTTGAATTCAGGTATTTCTAACAGTTAATGGTCAGCAGTTTAGAGTTATATCACAGCTTTTCTTTGCACTTTTGCAATTGTCTTTGACTTTACCGCAACCACACCGAGCATTGTGAACCACCTGCTTGGGATACGAGTCTGCAAGACAGTGTAAATGTACAACTACTTCACTGCATACAACACAAGCCTGTGTAACTTTATTTAGAATGTTCAAGCACCAGCGTCAGCTCCTACAACCCACATCGCAACGCTTACCAAGAATACACCGAGACAAACATCTACAGTAGAAATGAGCATTTTATCACTAGAATCGAGCACTCTACTTATTTCTGTGCTTTTGTAACCTGCTCCTTCTCCACAACACTCAACACCAGTTGGAATTTGTGATGAAACGCATTCAAAAGTCTTGGTTTGGACATTTATGAGCTGCTGTGGTCACAGATTTATGTTTTGGCAGCTCATTAAATTCAAAAGAAAAAAGAAAAAAGAAAATGAGAACATTTCTCAAGGATCAGCATCTCTGCCCATGAAAAGCTGATCTCTGGCATTCCAGCCAGTCGCCAAACAGCGCAGGGCTCAGTCGGTTTCTCTGCACAAAGCTGATAAAAATCACAATTTTACTTGGGGCATTCAATAAATCTGACAGAGAGAGAGAGGGAGAGAGATGCTCAAATAAGATGCATGATTGGCATTTTAAGGGATCCTGAGTAAACAGCAGCAAATACTCAATGTGTTGAGATATTTGCAGGTTCTGGCTGCAATTACAAGCTAACATTTTTTTTATCTTACCGCTCTATTGTTATACTCAAGCTGTTTTGCAGTCCTCTCACACATTTTATTAAGATGCTAACCACACCTGGCTGTCTGGGTCTTTGATGCCAGCTGAAGAAATAGATGTCAAAATGCCAACCTGGAACATAAATTGAAGGCTGGAGATGAAAACAAGGCTAACCTATAAGCAGCGCTGTAAACAGTAGCAGAAAGTCATGTTAACCTCTTGTCCTCCCTTTCAGATTCCTAAAAGACCTTTTCTTACCCCCTAAAGTGCCTGAATTAGAAGTTAAATTTAAGGATCTTTCAAATTTAACTCCCCCATAGTTGTTGCTGGGAGCTTGCCTGTCAGAGATAAGCACTGGTGGTTGGCCCATATAGCCATAATCTTGAACAAACAAAGGTGTGAATGTTATCAAATACTATTTTAGGCTCTACAGTGAATTGCACTTTGCTGCTAACACAGCTCCTGCTGGAAACGGCATGTGACGGGTTGCGAACACTTCCCTGCTGCTCAGACATGATGCTCTGCATCAGCACTGCTTCTTGGTGTTGAAAGGTGATAATGAAAAATGCAAATGTGGCTCCTTAAAGAGTGCTGGATGGAGATTGCCGGGGATATGCTTTCTCCAGGTAAAAGAGAGAGAGAGAAAGTGAGAGAAAGCTGAACTTGTCTGCCGTGGACCTGGCTCCTTAATAAAAGCAGAGGATCCAGAGGAATGTTCCACGTGGTTCTGGGCTGCTAGATCACTAGAACAGGTTTCCTTGTAGGACCTGCATACCAGAGGGAGGTAAGCCCTGATAACAAGGAGCACTTGCCTGCACTGGGTCTCTCTGATTATCATACTTATCAGATACATGTGCAGGAGAAGAACCGTGTGGGTCTGAGCTCTAATGCACAGACAGTGAACACATCTCAGACTAATTTAAATGCATCATGGGTCCCTTTTATAAACAGAGGCATTGCTGAATTTGAAACATCTGAGCATCTCGAGCAGCAAAGAAATACAGCTTGTTTTGGTTGGAAAATGCTCTGAGACCTGGGAAGGCAGTTAGCAGCAAAACAGCTCTGAACAGAAGGTGAACGGAGCTTCTTTTCAAAACTTTTTGTCCACATATCTTGAAACAAGCTAAGAGGCCTGGCCTGATGTTGTATATCATCATGGAGCTGACACAGAATTTGATCAATGGCGCCCAAGGGGAACGGCACTATTTTTTTTTTTTTTTAAACATGCTCCATCTTTGCAGATGTCTAACTGACAGCTCTGCTGTAAATCTGCTGTTCGAATTGTATCCCTCCTGTTGTTTTTCCTCCAAGTCTGACTTCTTCTGAACAAGCTGGCACCGGAGCCCCATGAGAATAGAAATATCAATTTTAGATGAGTGACAGTGAGACATCTAATGGTTAGTTCCTGCATAGCCACATCTGCTCTGAGTTAGAGCTAATACGGAGATGGTGAGATTAGATTCAGCCCATGCATGATCGGGCATATTCTGCTCCAAATTATAAACCGAGGGTCCTCCCCTCTACAAAACTGGATGCGTGGCAAAGAGCTGATTCTACTGAACTCCCTGCTGTTTGTTTACATGTAGAACACTTTATGTAAACAGTCGAATCCTTTTTATTATTATTATTTTTTTTATTGAGGCCACATCTCAGCAGGTACTGTCACAGTCTTCCTGTTAGTGTGGTTGTTTGTGTACATATTTCATGCACAAGCCTTTGCTTCGCGTAAATAGCCTCAGACAGTTCCAGCCCAAAACAAAATAAGCCTGCTGATGCATAACAGCCAATCCATCTGGAATGCGTCTCCTCGCTACATCCACACGAGCTGTCACACAGCGGCAGAGCCATTAGATATTCCTATTTATTTTTTATTTCGTTCAAAGGCCGATTATCATGTCAGTCAGATGATTTTCGTACAGGATGTCTGAGTCGTCGGTACACAGCTGGATGCTTTCATATCCTCTCTGCACTCGAGGTTATATTGAAAATCAATGCATGTCCATTAGAAGAGAGTTTGAAATTACATACACTGGAATATGAACTACTGTTCTGGTGAAAGACAGAAGTCAAATTACCAATGTGCCATTATTTATTAAGGCTCTGTTTTTACTCGTTCATTTACATCCTCATTGTACAGAACACCTGCTGGACTCAGACAAAGACCAGACGGCCTCTGCAAGAGCTCACTTCTATTAAATAAACACAGATTCACTTGCCAAGATTAAAAGATTCAGTTTGTAGACATCAACAGTGTCAGGTTCACACTCTCAAGAACCAGACGCCTTCTACACAAACCAGATTCTGCAGATTCTGAAATTTGATGAATGTGGCCCTTCACTTTGTTGGCCCGAGCTCCACTATGCTAACGCTAAGCGGTGGCGGGATGTGATGATCCTGTTGCGTTTCCACTCACGTTCAGGACAAAAGCTAATCATTATCAGTTATCTTTTATTTTTGTTTAGTCTATAAAATAGCGCTCTACAAGTATTCACAGGCCAAGATAAAGTCTATACACTGCTATTTTTTCCTTGGACACTCAAAGATATTTCATTTTGCGCAAATGGAAAAGTAAAAAGGTGCACGATTAGGAAGGATTCCAGCCATACTAACCAAAAATCTCACAGATTTAACTTGGCCATGTAAGTCATCCTCTTGGTCAGCGCTGTACCACTTCCTGGGTGGTACACTTTTAACCACTTGAACTTCAGTGATGTGTGCAGGATCTGCTCCGGTGTTTCAATCCAACGCCTCTAACTTATTTCAGAGGAAAACAAACCGTCAGGGAGGCACAGCTACTGGGAAGAGCAAGTTTTAAGCAAAGACTGTGGTCTAAACTGTTTGTCCCAGTTTTTCCTTCCTCTAGTGTTGCAGGGTGTTAACAGCAGGACTGTGAGCTCTTCTGCTGAAAATTCATTGATTTTCTGGTGGCCCAGTTCTCATTACAGTGCTCCCTGACCTGAAAGTCAGGCTGGTTTGACACAGAAGATGTTTGTCTCTCTAAAGTCCAAGTGCAACTGGTCTGAACAGGACTTCCACAGAGAAAACAGCAGGAGCACAATAAAGAGGGGACTGATTTCCAAAAAAAGAACTTTCTGATTACACCTTGCATCTCAGTGTTTAAAAAAAAGAAAAGAAAACGAAAAAAAGAAGTTAATTAGACCACTAAAAAACCCAGACTTATGAGGAACTGTTGCACCAGCTGCTTTGTTTGTTACATTTTGCCTTTAACCTCTTTTTCCATTGATGATGAAACACCAAGACACCTTTGTGTTTTGCAGCTTTTTTGCACAAACTAAGCATTCCCCGTGCCTCCCTGAGCTCCGAGTGTCTCCGTTTGGCCGCACTGATGTTACAATATGTAAGATACTCTGCTCAAAGACATAACAAGCGGAAAAAATGCTGGCTGTACTCTGGACATCCTGTGCTGAGGCTGATTTGCAAAATAAAAAAAACAACACTCCTTTTTATGTCATGTCACTTCTTACCAGTAAGTAGCCAGTGGCAGGGTCAGCTGTCATCGACTCATTCTGAAACGTGTTGGCCTGAACCAGCTCCTCCTCCTCCCTCCTGTCCTTCTCTCCGCCATCATCATCATCCAGCTCATCCAGGCTCTGTGATAAGGTGATGACAGACGAAATTAGGAAGTGAAGTGGACACAAACTATGTTTACATGCGCCATCTGTGTCAAGGTTGGTAAATTAAAGAAAACTTCATGCGCACAGATCTAACATTGGTCCCATTTTACCAAATTTGCATCATATAAACAACTTCCTTGTTGGTTGCATAACCGTATATCGCACGAGGGTTGAGGAATGAGGAATCATTTGTGCATTTGTGTTTTCAACAGGCAGCTTGTCAGCAGCCAAACCTCTTCTCTAAGCCAAGGTATGTTGTTTTTTTTTTTTTACTGTATACAGATGATAAATATATTGTTTTATCTAAGCATCTTAACAGTGAGAGACAAAAACAACAGCTTCAAGTGTTCACCACACTCTAAATATTCATGTGAGAACAAATCTCCTATAAAGCCAAATCAGGCCTTAACTTGTCCAAAAACAAAATGCTGAGTGACACACCGCAGGACAGCCTCCTGATGTTGGCCTTGTCGACTCACATTATTTGCTGTGTGTCAGCAAATAAAATGGCATTTACAGGTTTACTTGTTTTTTCTGAAGCAAAATTGGGGACAAACATAAGCAGAGAGTCAATTATTGGTGTCAGCATCAACTGTTAGCCACAGGTGTAGGTATCAGACCAGAACTTCACAACTGGTGCATCCCTGGTGCATTCACTAGTAGCAGGTGGGCGTCTTTTGTCCTGCCTCTGCTTGTTGCACAACAGAAGCTCCCTCACATTAATCCAGTAGTTTGAAGTGAACCATTTCCAGCTGTGTGCAGCATGTGCAAGCTGAAAAGTTCAGACAATGACTGACCTAATTATCACAATAATGTCAAGAATTCCTCTGTGAAAAAGGCTTTGGGACAGATTCTGTCTGACTTTTTATTATTTTGTATAAAAATATGCTCAGCTTGTTACTTTTTATACAATCTGCTTCTATGAATTCTTTATTCTCATCTGAAACTTTGTTTACTCTTCAAGATAAGTGTACAATCAAACCAACCCCACCCTCCAGTGCTTAACGGGTTGCTAGAGTCAGTCCCCCAGACAAATCCAACAGTAACTTCCTCATTTTATTGCAGTTGAGTGCACTGACAGATGCGTGGTGACAAGCAAGGTCATTCCCACAGTAACAGCAATATTGACCTCTGGCTCAACACAACCAGGGTCTCCTCTTAATCCTCTTCAGACATGGTCACATTCACTTCCAGGAATCCCCCAGGAGCTACAGCTCAAACACTACCCTAATGCCAGATGGACTCTAGTACGGCAACAGGAAAACAGTCTGCACTCGACCTTTCACCTCTTGAGGACAAGTCAGGGGGGGATTTTTGACCACTGGAATGTCCCTTGAAAACACAATAAAAGACACAATATAAACATACGGAGTGCAAACATCCCTTTGACAGAGGCTAGCAGCTTTCATAATCAAAGCAGAGAGCTTTCGAATAGTCTCGGAAAACCAACTTTACTTCTGATAATCTTAATTTTTTATTTTTATCTTAAAATATCTGCACAGCCCAAACTTCACACTGAGATGGAGTACGACAGAGTTACTGGGTTCATCTGTCAGGAGCGGCGGAGATGCATTGCACAAACACATCTCAACACTGACGGCCGGATCGTGACACGAGACAGAACGGGGGCCAAACTCCCAGAGGGGACAATGCAAACCAGGCTTTCCTGTTTTACACCGCAGGGTGAACAAAAGATGGCTGCCCAGCAGACCCTTCATCGGTAAAAATAGCCTTACAAGGTTAAAGAGGAATGCAGTCATTTGCAAGGCTTTTCCTGCCAAACTGTTTATCAGTTGTCCTTGGGGGAAATGCCAGTTCCTTTTGAGTCTCACTCAGAGCTTAATGCTAGCACTCTCCTCCACCTCACCGGTGCTCTCATCATCTCCCACACAGACACCTATTGGAGGTATCCCACGATGGGGCATAATTAGGAGATTAAGAGCAATGATATATGGAAAATGCCATAAAACAGAGTTCTGTCTGTGTCAACGCAGAGTGGATTGCGCAATGACTAACCACTCTGCTATGCACAAACTTTCCTAAAATGTGGAGTTGGGAATCTCAAAGTTTGTTTTGGAAAGAGATGGAGCCCACTTTGCTCTCTAGTATTCCAAATTGCTGTGCTTCTTTTTATTTCAGCTAAAGGAAAAGGGTATCTGTGTGAGTCCATATAAGGGGTGTTTCTGCTCCTGACATCATCATAGTGTTTATTTTTCTGGCCAGTTTCTTACCTTGGGCCAGCTGGGCAAAGCACTGAAAGTGCTGAAGGATGAGCGTCCAGGGCATTGACTGAATGCCTTGAGCAATGTATTTGCATTTCAACATTACACATAATTTCTTCAGCCCAAATAGTGTCACAGAAGTAATGCAATGTTCTGTAGCACCACTGTAGGGGCCTCGAGAGTCCCCCTCTGAAACGCATCACTCTCCACAAGTTTGTACATACAAGGACACACTTATAGCAGCCACTGTTGGCCTATTCTTTGCATATTTTAAAAACACTTTTTATTTCTCTGTATACAAATGATATAATCTGGCGTGCATTTACCATTTTGCAGACAATTTTGTGCACACTTCACTGAGGCTAAAGTTCATTTATAACATAATCTAAATAAGTTAAGAAATTAAGAAGTGAAGAGCAAAGACACGTGTCCTCCCCCAAACAGTTTTGGAGAGTCGAGTGAATGCTGCCCAGCTGGGACCGATTATCTGCGGGAGAAGCACTTTTTACACAATGCTAAACCCTAATTAAGATTAATTAAAAATACAATGAATGTTCTAAGATCATTAAATGTTGAGCCAAAATTGAAATGTACCAAAAGTCAAGGCACATACAGTAAACAGAGGTATCAGTTTGTGTACTGATGATATTAAAAAGATCATTACAAACTTCAGTGTTAGAGGACATCTCTCCAGAATCCTCTCTGCTTCCTGTTTACAACAGGACCAAGTGTCAGGGCGTGTTTACTTAAGAAAAGCACATATCCTGCTCCGCTTCAGCCTCCAGGCCTCTGACCGTCACTCTCCACATGAAGAATAAAAGAAGCTACATCTGGAGCAGAGCTTCACGGTCTACTGGAATGTGTGTTGTGGTTGGAAAGTTTCTCCGCAGGGAGGAAAATGATCACTCATCTATTCTGAAACTCCATCTCTGGCAGCAACAATGCAAAGGCTACAGTCTTTGTCTGCAGCACAGCAGGCTGTCTGCTTTACTTCCCTGCTCTTTAGCTTTTAAATGTTGGTCAAAGGGATGCTGTGTGATGGGAGAGGTGATGGGTTCCCAAACTAAAGTGGCTACTTTCAAATCATCCACATGAAAGACAACAATAAAAAAAAACATTTTAACTATAGTATGCTAAAGTCTATAATCATTATTATACACTGAATTTTCACATGCCAAATAGGGTGAACACATCATGATCTTGAGAGTAAGAGAGAGCTTAATCTAACAGAAGTAGCAGAAGCCTGCTTAATCTACTTAAGACATATTAAGATAAATGTCTTATTTTAAAATGCACAAAAAATAAAGCCTCAAACTGAGATCATTTTAGTTGGTTGAACACATGATTCAAGTTTCAAACCAAGTGTCCACAAAAAGCTGCTCAGCAACAGCTCAGCAGAGGTAGCTACAGCTGCAGTGACTTCCATGGCAACCAATCTGTACAAACTCACAATCTGTATTCAAGGGAGAAATGTGTACAGTGTGTCACTCGTCCAGTCTTCCTCCCCTTAGCCCCCCATGGCTGTTCTTCCCTGAGCCTGGTACTGCTGGAGGTTTCTTCCTGTTAAAAGGGAGTTCTCCCTTCCCACTGTCGCAAACTTCATAAAGGGGGTTGTTTGATTGTTGGGGGTTCTCTGTAGCATTGTAGGGTCTTTATTTTACAATAAAAAACACCTTGAGACAAAGATAACCCAAGAAAATTTAAAAAAAGCAGTTTTTAAATGATGATTTCATTGATTGAGGAAGAAAAGATATGTGGATTAGTCAAATTCCTTTTTTTTTTTTTTTTTATTTTTTTTTTTTTTAGTCAAATTCCTGACCTGAATCCAATTGAGATGCTGTGGCATGACCTTAAAAGGGTGGTTCATGCTCGAAAACCTTCCAATGTGGCTGAATTACAACAAGTCTACAAAGATGAGTGAACCACAATTTCTCCACAGTGCCGTAATGAGACTTTTTGCGAGTTATCACAAACACTTGATTGGAGTTGTTGCTGCTAAAAGGGTGGACCAACCAGTTATCAGGTTTGGGTACAATCACTATTCCACAAAGGGCAATGTTGGTTTGGATTTTTTCCCCTTTAGTAATAAACACCTTCAATAAGAAACTTCAGTATGTGTTTTTACTTATCTTTGTCTAATATTTAAATTAGTTTGATCTGAAACAAACTGTTCATCCAGATGTAGCACAAAACGCTACGTCCGGATGAACAGAATCAACTTTTGGAGACTGCACCACAAAATGTCTGAGCTGCAGGAGGGCCTGGATAGGAGGGTCCCAGGATGACCCCTTTACACGTTTTGGCTTCACTGCATGTTCACCTTTTAACCGTTTTGTTTTGGCACGAGATAGCCTGTCCCTTTTACTTCCACTTTCTCATACTCTGTGCAGATCCAGTCTAAACATACATTCTGTCAAACTGCCAACAGCTCGACCACTTAGTCCTCAGATTTACCTCCAAACAAGCAAAGGGCAGCTCCAACAAAGGCACGCTCGTATACAGCAGACTTAATGACTTCTGTGTATTAATCACCTGCCACTCGCCACAGCACAGTGACTTCATTAAGATGATCTATTAGGGAAGAGGTAAACTGGCACACCGATGCCCACTGTCTTTTAATCAAGACTGCCAGTCAAGCTCAGGTAACGGGCACAGACAGGCACAGCACTGCGCTCAGGTATGGCAGAGATCAAAGAGAGGACATCCGCCCCGGAGCTGCAGGCTGATTAATGTGACACCACCGACTTGCCAAGG